GTTAGCATTTCTTGGCTGTTGTGGATAGTGCTGCGATAAACATGGGAGTATAGATACCTCTGACATGCTGATTTCATTGCTTTGGATATATAACCAGTGGTGGAATTGTTAGATCATATGATAGCTCTGTAATTTTTGTTTTAGGAATCTCCATACTGCATTTCATAATGGCTTTATGGTTTTATGTTCCCACTTACAGTGCTCATGGGTTTTCTTTTTCTGAACATCCTTGCCAGCACTTGTTATCTTTAGTCTTTTTGCTAATAACATTGTTATTGTTTGGGAATGATGGTGTACATCTTTAATCCTAGCTAACTGGAAGGCAGAGATCAGGAGACTTGAGGCTCAAGGGCAGCCCAGGCCAAAAGTTTGCAAGACCCCTAACTGAACAAAAAAATTGGGTGAGGTGCACTTAGCTCACTCAACTAGCTTTTCCTAGCTCCTGAGAGGTGTAGTAGGAAGAAGTCAGTCTGAGGCTGGCCCTAGGCAAAAAAACAACTATCTATAACTATCTGTAAAACATCTAAAAAGCAAAAAAGGGCTGGGGACATGGCTCAATGCATGGACCCTGAGTTTGCACACCAGTATTGCCAGAAAGAAAGAAAAAAAATTCTTACTTGAATGAGGTGACATCTCAGTGTGGTTTTGATTTGCATTTTCTTTTTATGAGAAATGTCTATTTAGGTCTACTTCTCCACCCCACCCCTTTGAGACAAAAGTTTTACTGTATTGCTCAGACTGACCTCACAGTTATAATCCTGCCTTTGCATCCTGAGTGTTGGGACTATAGATAGGCACCATTGTGCCCAGCTCTCTCACTTTTATTTTTGGTGATACTGGGATTTGAACTCCAGTCCTCACACTTGCTAGGCCCTGTTTTGTGTTGGGGATTTTGGAGATAGGGTCTCTCAAACTATTTGCAGAGGCTGGTCTCTGCCTCCTGAGCAGCTAGAATTACAGGCATGAGCCACTGGTACCCAGCTCTTAACCTATTTTCAAATTGGGTTATTTGATTTTTTTGCTGTTGAGTTTTTGGAGTTCTTTATATATTCTGGATATTCACCCCTTACCAAATAAATAGTTTACACATATTTTCTCCCATTCTGTAGGGTATCTCTTCACTGTGTTGATGGTTTGCTGTGCACGAGCATATTTTAGCTTGATGTAATCCTATTTGTATATTTTTTTCGTTTCCTTTGTTCTTCAACCATATCCAAAAATCCTTACCTATTTCTATGTCCCAAAAATTGAGTTTTTCTTAACATAAATAAGGAAAACTTGATTCTCTGATGACTATGACAAAAAATATAATATCTGTTTTGTTTTGAATAATCATGTGTTTTCTTGTTCCAACTCAGACCCCACTGGGATGAACTCTTTAGCTCTTTCTACATCTTTGCTTGTCCTGAAAATCTTTTCCACTGAGCATTGTAAAGAGGACACCAAACCTAGGCCTTAGAAATCTTTAGTAATTGTGATATGTTACTGTGTTTCCTCTACTTTCCATAATCAGTAAGTTTCAGAGATACCTTAAATAACATTTACAAATAATAGGTTGATAAATGTGGGCATTAAAGAGATTGAATGGTGTCTGATTCAGTCCCTTTTCTTGAAAAACTAATTACTATCTTTAATTCAGATGAAATGACTAAGATCTAGAGAAGTTAAACAACACACCTAGTATTCATTCTGTGCTTGTACATTTCTTAGAGGTGGTACATGGCTGCTAGTTAGATCGCATTTCCTCCTGCTGAAAATACTATAGTCTGTGGTTTGAAAACAACCAGCATGATCATATCTAAAGTTTGATTATCTGTAAGAGGCAGTAGACAGATCTTCTAGACAATTTTTTTGGTCTCTACTATTGATTTGGGTTTATTTTATCGGTAAGGTAACTGTACCTCTTACACTAAATGCTTATATTTTGATCATAAATCCTGTTTAGAAAATGACTTTTTATTAACACACTTCAACAAGATAATTTGATGTGAGTCACTAGAACCACTTGTGGGCCACCTTTCCTAGGGTATTGGGTGGTGAAATGTTGGAGTCAGAGTTGGAATTATTTTCACCAGCCTTCCTGTGGGTAGTAACTTTCAGTTGTCTCTATATCACATGAAAGTTGAGACTTAAATTTTAGTTGTTTGGTGATTTTAATTTTTTCTTTTGGTGGTACTGGGGGTTGAACTCAGGGTCTTACACTGCTAGACAGACAGTCTACCACTTGAGCCCTGCCACCAGTTTCCTTTTCTTCCCTTCCCTTTCCTCTCCTTCCCTCGCCTCCTTCCTGGCCTCCCCCCAACCCCCAACTCCCTTGGTCTTTTCTGGTACTGGGGTTGGAACTTGAGGGCCTTGAGCTTGCTGGACAGGTACTCTACCACTTGAACCATGCCCCCAGCCTTGCTTTTGAGTTGGGAGTCTAACTCAATGCCCAAGCCAGCCAGGCTAGCCTAAGAACCTCCTATTTATGCTTCCCAGTATAGCTGGGGATGTCAGGAATGCCTCACTGAAACTAGCCATTGGTTAAAATGATGTCTTGTGAACTCTTTTGCACAGGCTAGACTTAAACCTTGATCTTCCTAATCTCTACTTCCATAGTCGCTATGATTACAGACTTGACCCATTGTGCCCAGCCACCTTTGTCTGGAGTTGCAAATGCATTTTAAAGGCATGCTTAACATAATTCTTACATTGTGAAACCTTAAAAATTAAAAAGTGAGAAAAATATTGAAAAGTATATAGAGTTATTTAAAACAATGTAATATTCTATAAATTTCACTCTTCTCTGGTAATAGGTTAATACGATGCCACATACCACATTAGTTTAATATGATGCCGAGCATGGGCGCTACTTCCAGTTACGAGGGAGATGGAGATTAAGTTCAGCCTGAGTAAAAAGTTAGCAAGATCTCATCTCAACAACAAGTGAGGCAGTGGTGGCTCTTCTGTGATCCCAGCTATAAGAGAAACAGAAGCAGGAGAATTGGGGTCCCAGGATGCCCCTGGGCAAAAATACAAGACCCTCACTGAAAAATAACTAAAGTGAACAAATTTGAGGGCATGGCTCAAAAGGTAAAGCACCAGCCTAGCAAGTACAAGGCCCTGAGTTCAAACTCAGTGCCACCACCAAAAAAAAAAAAAGTGTAACATCCAGATATGTAGATGCAGTGTGTGTGCAAATATATATGTAAGCATATAATAAAATTTACAAAATGGGAGAGCATTTTACATACTTATATGTAACTTTTTCTTCAAAGTACAACATGGGTGTTGATCGGAAGCATATTTTTAAAAGTAATGCAAAAGTAAAAATGTGCACTACTATTTTAAATGCATGCTTTCAAAGACTGGGTTTTAGCAGTTCTTTTTTATAATACCAGACAGATCACTTAATAGAAACTCTACCTAAAAATCATCTCATGGGAACTGCAAGGAAACTTAAAGATAATATTAGGCAGCACTTTGTGCTTTAGATGAGAGGCTCTGAGATGTTAATGACTAAGCTGTTAAAACTAGATACAAGTTTAAATTAAGTTGTCTTTCTACCATAACACAACAGTTTTCATTCCTTGCTCTCAAATCAGATATGTTGGCTTCTAGTTGGCAAAGTATGAGATAATGAGTCTCACTGAAAAATTTTCCATTGAATTTTATTTAAAAATATTTATAAATAGCTGTTTTATAAAAAGAAAAGGTAGAACAAGTCATATGGCTCATTCTTGTTTAAGAATTTGGGTAACTTGCTGGGCACAGGTGGCTCATGCCTGTAATCCTGGCTGCTCAGAAGATAGAGATCAGGATTGCAGTTCAAAGCCAGCCCAGGCAAATAGTTTGAGAGATCCTATCTGGAATATTCCAAACACAGAAAAGGGCTGGTGGAGTGGCTTAATGTGTAGGTCCTGAGTTCTAGCCCAGTACTGAAAAATAAAGAATTTGGGTCAGTAGAGTGCTTGCCTAGTAGACATAAGTCCCTGAGTTCAAACTCCAGTACTACCAAAAACAAAAACAACAAGAATTTAGGTAGTTAGATGAAGACTGGCCTTGGTGGCTCATATCTATAATCCTAGCTGCTCAGGAGGCACAGTTCAAGAGGATCATGGCTGAGGCCAGCCCAGGCAAAATATGAGATCCTCATCTCAGTCAATAAGCTGAGTGTGGTGATGCACACCTATGATCCCAGCTACATGGGAAATGGTAGGTAGGAGCATCTTGGTCTGAGGCCAGCACAAGTGAAAAATGCAAGACCCTACTTGAAAAATAGCTAAAGCAAAAAAAGGTGGTGGTGGGGTTCAAGTAGTAGATTGCCTGCCTAGCAAGTGTAAGACCTTGAATTAAAGCCCCAGCACTGTCCCATCCACTCCCCGCCACCTCCCCCCACCAAAAAAAAAAAAAAAAAAAAACAACCTAAAGTATTTGGGTAGTTAGCCTTCTCCCTCCATTCTGGTTTTTTTTTTTTTTTAGGTCCTGGGGTTTGAACTCAGGGCTACATACTTGTTAGACAGCTCTACCACTTGAGACTTGCCACCAGCCCTTGGAATTTTTTTGTTTTTAATCCTCCTAATTGCCCGATGAAATTAATATCCCTGTTGTGCACTGTAGCCCTTTAGCCACAAGATTTTTAATAGAAAACTGTTAAAACTGCAGCTCCTGAAAGGATTCTTTTAGAATGGTGATGCAGACACTTATTTTTGCCCTTTTAATTATTTTTAGCTTTTAGAAGAAACAGAAATAACAGGAAAACCAAAACACAAGCACACAAAGAAAATCATTTAATCAAATAGCAATTGCCCAAGTATAAATCCTTTATTGAAACCAACTTTTCAGATATATTTCAAATTAGTGTTCATGATATACTTTGATGCAAAAGATTTTTTATTCTCTTGGGGACAGTATCATTTCTGTTGAGAATACATGAGTTTAGAGGAAACTCAAATGACAAAATAGTTAACTATCTTTTAAAAAAGATGATCTTTCACTTTACCTTCTTGTGTTTATTTCAGGCTTTCTTAGAAATGGCTTCTGAGGAAGCTGCTGTTACCATGGTGAATTATTACACTCCTGTTACTCCTCATCTTCGAAGTCAGCCTGTTTATATTCAGTATTCCAATCACAGAGAACTTAAGACTGACAATCTGCCTAATCAAGCTGTAAGTATTAAAAATAGGTATTAGAACACATGGTAACATAACTTAAAATTGATTTTCTATACTTTAGATAAGAATTATGTACTAATCTTCATTTTAGGACACTTTATTATATACCTCTTAAATTTTAGAGGAACTTTAGAAGTCGTTCCTTTCAGTCCCTCCTTTTTTAGACCTTATAAGATTTGAGAAGTAGAGTGATGATTGTATTGTGATGTTAACTAACCATTTGAAAATATTAGTCAAAATTTGTTTAGAATTGATCATTAAATGATTTTTGACTCCTCAACATAGAATGTAGCATATCAACATTTATTACCTCAATTTTCTATGTTTTATTATGATAATAGCTCCTGTTGTGTCTCTCTGTCCTTCCAGCTTCATTTTTAAGTGGTTAAGTAGTAATTTGAAGTTATTTACATAACATAGGAAAACTTTTGGCTACAAAGCAAGTACATTTTAAGAAAGTAGTTTTTGTATTTGGGAGCATGGTGCAAGTGGTAGAGCACTTGGTGAGCCAGTGAACAGGAGGCCCTGAGTTCAAACCCTAGCACCAAAAATAAGCATAAATAAAAGAAAAAACAAAGTGGGTTTTCTTATGCAAAAAGTATGTTTGGCTTGTATTCATGCTGTAGGCAAAGAACTACTGTTGCTCTTTTTTGTTTGCTTGTTTGTTTTTGAGACTGAGTCTCCCAGTGTAGCTCTTGCTGGCCTAGAATATGCTGTACAGCCCAGGATGGCCTTAATCTACTGATCCTGCCCCAGCTTTCCCAGTGCTGAGCTTGCAATTGCTTGCCACCACTCCCAGCCTCACTGTTTAATTCTGTATTGAAAAGCATTATGATGCATGCAGGCTGTGTATTTATTAAGTTAAAGAGACTTGTGCATAATTCTTATTTTAATAGACAACTAAATAATGCAGTATTTGATATTTTCAAGTAGTACAGACTTTTTAATTATCAGTCTCACTCTCTCCATCAGTATTGGGGAATGAGTACAGGGCCTTAGACATTGCTAAGCAAGCAGTCTGCTATTGAGCCATCCCAAGCTCCTAGAATAGAGTTTTTTAAGAGGAAAATTAATTTATAAATTGTAAATAATATATACACTCATGGTAGTGCATTCAAACCATCTAGAGAAGTAAAAGACAACAACAAAAACCCCAATAATCTAGTTGCTCATAGATAACTGATGACTAGTGCTAACATGTTCATTTGTACCCTTTTCTAGCTAATTTTATGCAAATGGAATCCTGATAATTTGAAATCTTTTCATTTTTTCCCCTCTATAATATGTTATGAACATTATTTTATAATAGCAAATACAGAGTTACTTCATGGTTTTCATTTCTTTTGTTGGTGGTGCTGGGGTTTGAACTCAGGGCCTTGAACTCGTTCTTACCACTTGAACCACACCCCTAGACACCACCCCCCCCTTTTTTTTTAATCTTCAAAGTTTAATCAAAGTTATATATGAAGTCAAAGTTAAATGTACAGCAACAGAAATCATTGAAAAGAAAGAAAAAGACCTACAAATTTAACCTTGTGTCTCATTACTATAACATACCTCTGTAGCATTACGAACTAATATTTTAAATAAAATATTAGCTATATGGTATTAGTTGAGAGCATGTTAAAAACATTAATCTTGTACATGTAAAACTCCCTTTTTTTTTTTTTTTAACTTTAGATTTTTCTCAGATGGTCTCTCAGGGCTGTCCTCTACAGCCTACCCTTGCCTTCAGGGTATAGCTAGAATTACAGGTGTACCCAGATTATTCTTTGAGATAGAGTCTTATTTTGCCTTGTATGGCCTGGAACATCTTGTTCTCCCCATCTGGGATTACAAGTATTTGCCAGTGGTCCTGGCCTTCATTATTTTTTAATGATTGCATATTGTTTTAGTATTTGAGAAAGCCATAATTTATCCAGTTTTTTTATAGATACTGAAATTTTTCCATATTTTGTGTTTTTACAAATAGCACTCATGCTAAAATATATGTTGTGTGGTGCTTGGCAACCAAAGTCATCCTCATGATCTAGATTATTCTTAGATAGCGTTTTTTGTTTTTATTTTGTTACTTTTGTGAAATTTTTATACATTGGTGTTTCATATCAGTTTTGTTATGTTCAAAGCTCTATGCCAAACAAATTGAAGTCAAATTGAAAGTACCCATTTACACATATTAAAAGTAACTGGCGTGTTTTTTTTATTCTGACAGTCCCAAGAAGTTAATAGATTAATGTTTGTTTTGTTCTCTGAACAGCAAGTTATCCTGAAACATGCATATAACTTCTTTTCTAGATCATGGACATAATTGTTAGAGGGTCAAGTGAATACCAAGTATTTTTGTCTCTTTGATTTAAATAAAATTATTATTACAAAATTTAGATCATATTCTGAGGCACAACACTTGAGAAGTGATTATGTTATTATTGTGGCATAATTTTTCTTGACCTTGTGAGTATAAATTCACAGATCTACACAGATGATCTTAGGAGGGTTTTTCCTTAGAAATGTTCCTTAAATAATTATTAAACTGAACACTAGGATCTGTACTTTTATAAAATGTTAGTTTCCATCTTTTTCACTGTAAGAATGTTGTCTTCACATTATAGAGGCATTTTTCGTTGTTGTTTTGTTTTTTCCTTTTAAGATAGTGTCTCACTATGTATCCAAGGCTGGCCTCAAATTCATGATCCTCCATCCTCTGTCTCCCAAGTTCTGGGATTGTAGGCATATGCTACAACATCAGCAGGCATGTGTAAACTTCACAAGAAGTGTATCTCTCTGTCCTGGCTTAATAGAATCTTTGTTGCTTTTCTGATTATACTACTGTTTCCTTTATTAATAACTAGCGTAGTCATTCCAGAGAGTTTGTTCTTCAAATGTTTAAACCTCATCTCCCATAACAGAAACTTTACTGTCTCATAATTTTTAGTATTAAATGGGTTTTCATATTCAGAATCTCTCTTGGTTTTTACTTAAATGTTTTTGTCTAATTAAAACTTGTCACTAAATGCTATGTGTGTGGTGCATGCCCATAATTCCAGCATTGGGGAGGCTGAGGCTAAAGGAGGAGGATCATCTAGTGTTTAATTTACCCTAGGCTACATGATGAGACCTTGTCTCAACAAAACAAAACAAAATTGAAACTTTCGGTACTTTTAGAATAAATCTACCTTTTTATTAGGTGTCATTTTCTTGGATTTTAATTGTCAAAAGTATTTCTTGCATGTTTGTTACATAGAAAGCTTTCACTTAATGTTCTGCGGATTCCCTTGCAGAATATATTGAAAACTCTAGGATGACACCACGACTTCTTAAATGTTTCAGCTTATGCCAAAGAGGTAGGAGTGAAGGAGGAACAACAGGAACAGTATTAGCAATACCAAACACTTACACAGAATTATTTAGCAAAGTTTGGTAGGATGATTGATGGCATAATGAAGTAAAGAGGTCAGTGAGTTAGCTTTATGTTTGCACATGCCTAATTTTGATATTTAAACATTTAATCTTAGAGGAATAGGAGCAGTTAACTGTATTTAAAACCTTACTATAATGATGTCTTTTCCTAGGTGTCTAGAGCTGAAATGTCTAATACTGGTATCCACTAGCTACATTTTAAAAATTCAGCTCCTTGGTTACAATAGCCAATTTTAAGTGCTCATTAGATACTTTTGGCTAATAGATATCATACTGGACAGTGTAGAAACCAGACATTTCCATCATCACAGGAATCTTTTGGATAGTCTTTTTTACTATCTTTCATGTTTCTACTTAGCTTTTGGAGTGTGTGGAGTACAGTTCCAATAACATCTTTGTCGGCTTATTTGAACCCCAGTGTCAGTTCTGTGTGGTCTTTTATTTATTCCCTCCTCCTACACACCAATTATGACCTCAAAATGGAAATCTGAAGCAGTTTTCAAACTCATAAAAGCAGTACCACCCTTGTTTTCTAGTAAAATCTTACTGGGATGTCCAGTGTAAAATAAGTGCCAGAAGCTGCCATGTTTAAGGCAAAATTGGGGTATCCAGTATCCTGCATGCTTGACTGTATAAGAGCATAGTTTTGAGAAATAGTGATACAAAATAATTAAAAGAATATTCATGTTCTTGAAGATGGTTCTGCTTTGGAAACAACATTTGTCAGTGTGTGTATTATTTCATTCTCAAAAATCTGTATGTGGCATAAAAACAGTTAAAATGCTTCTATACAAGTATTTTTTAAAAAGGATGATGCTTTTTAAAGGGAGCGGGAGGGGGTGGAGTGGGTGGTAAGGGAGGGGGTGGGGGCAGGGGGGAGAAATAAACCAAGCCTTGTATGCACATATGAATAATAAAAGAAAAATGAAAAAAAAAAAAAAAAAAAAAGGATGATGCTCAGCTGGGACGCTGGTGATTCATGCCTGTAATCTTAGTTGCTCAGGAGGCAGAGAGCAAGAGGATCTTGGTTCAAAGCCAGCCCCAGGCAAATAGTTCTCGAGACCCTATCTGAAAAAAATTCATCACAAAACAGGGCTGGTGGAGTGGCTTAAGTGGTAGAGAGAGCACTTGTCTAGCATGTGTAAGGCCCTGAGTTCAAACCCCAGTACTGCCACAAAAAACAAAAAAGGATGATGCTCACCTTAGCAGCACATACACTGAAATTAGAACGATAACAAGATTAGCATGGCTCTTGTGCGAGGATGACACAAATTTGCACAGCATTCTGTATCGTTTTGGTGGGGTTAAAACCCAAGGCCTTGCACTTGCTTTCCCACTTGAGTTGTGCCCCAAATTATTTCGTTTTTATTTTGGTTTTTATTTGGTTTTGAGATTGGCTAGGCTGGCCTCAATCTCTCGATTCTCCTGCCACCATGCCCAGCTGCATTTTGTATTTTTAAGTAAAATTTCCTCTAATTTGTGAGAAACATCCTAATGAAGTGCTATAAAATGGGGGGAGAGGGGGAGTATGTATACAGTGGAATGTTTCAAATATTAAATCATGCAGAAAGTAACAGGCTTCCAGTTTTTCAGAAAGGCACTTATTTTAGTATTTACTGTGACAAAATATGAAAACTTAGATATCTCACATAAGAAGCATAGCTTAATAATTGTAATTAAAATTTACAGCCATGAAAACAAAACAAGAAATATGAGTAATCTAAAAACAACAAATTAATGTTTAAAATTCCAAATGAATACAGTATGTGAAAATGAAAGTAGCTACATTAAAGTTGTAGAATTTTTCATTTTATTGCTCAAATATTTTGTATAACATCACCTTAAGAAATGTGACCCACCTTGCCTGAGTCAAACCTGTAATCCTAGCTATTTGGGAGGCAGAGATTGGGAGGATCACAGATCCCAGCACCTGTCATCCCAGCTACATAGGGAAGCACAGATACGAGGATGGTGGTCCAGGCTGACCTGGGCATAAAGCAAGACCCTATATCAGAAATAGGCATCACAGAAATGGCAGAGCAGTACTGCCAAAAAAAGAAGAAAAAAAGTGTGGAATAAAAGATACATTAAAAACATTAATTTAATTTCAATAATCATTAACTATGCTTCCTCCTCATTCAGTTTTCCTTTTCACCTACTTCGTTTTTTAAATAATTGTTTTAAATTTTGAGGTTGAAAAACATTGCAGGTGCAATATAAAAAAGTTTCAATTTCTCATGCCTTTGGAGAATATGCAGCCAACCTGGCCCTGCATCCTTGTCCAGTGCTTTTAGTGTGCATTTCTTACAAATAAGGACTTTATTCAACCAGAATAAAACTGCCAACATTGAGCTGGGACATGGCTCAAGTGATATAGCTCTACCTAGCAAGCAGGGGTTCCTAAATTCAAACCCAGTCCCCCACCGCCAAAAAAAAAAAAAAGTTAACATTGATACATTACTTCTGTGCAATTCTTAGACCTCATTCATGTTTTGTCAGTTGTACTGATGTTTCGTTATAGCAGTAGGGTCCAGTCCAGATTCACATATTGCATTTAGTTATTATGTCTTTTCAGTCTCCTTTAGTCTGAAACAGTTCTTCAGTTTTTGACTTTTATCTCCTTGACATTGCTGAAAAACATTGCAACTTGTTTTCTAGAGTGTTCCTCAATTTGAGTTTGCTTTATATTTCCTTATGATTCAGTTCAGGGTATATACCTTTGACAGATGACAAAAGTAAACTCTCTTCTCACTGTGTAATGATTTCAGTTTGTTCCATTTCCAGTGATGTACTCTTTGATCACTTGATTATGCTGTGTTTGCCAGGCTTGTCTACTGTAGAATTATTACAGTTGTCCTTCAATATCCATAGGGGGGAGGTGCTGGTTGATTCCAGGACCCCCAGCCTCCATACCCAAATCTAAGGATGCTTAAGTCACTCATATAAAATAGTATAGTATTTGCATAACACCTATACACATCCTCCTGTATGCTTTAAATTACCTCTAGATTACTTGTAATATCTAATACAATGTAAATGCTATGTAGTGGCTTATACTGTATTCAGGGAATAATGACAAGAGAAGCAAGTCTGTATTTTCAGCACAGATGCAATTTTCCTGAATATTTTTGGTTCATAGTTGAGTTTAGTACCAACAGATACAGAGAGCTCAATTTTAATTAAAAGGGGAGAGGAATAATATTTTGTAGACACATGTATTGAGACATTATAAATATAACATTCCTTACCAGTTGTCATTTTTTATCAGTATGGACTTAGGGTTTCCTATTTTGTGTTATAAATAGTTATATATTTATTTTTGTTATAATCATTACATTTCAATTCTCAGATTGGCCAGTGGAACCCCTTCAAGATGGCTTTTGACATATTTCTATCATTCTTTCAATACTTCTTTGCATTCTGGAAAAAGTAAGAAAAACAGCACAAGAATATTTCACACTCATCTTGTGCTTTTCATGACCCAGCTCTGGAACCAGGTCCCCCGCCCCCCCCTTTTTTTAAAGTGCCCTGGTTCCTTTTAGTGGAGAATGCCACTTTGAAGCTTGTCTACCTACTCTTGCCAGACTGTTCCTCTACTTAATGATGTTAGCTTGTTCAGACTTTGTGTATGTGTGTATGAGGGGGTGTTGAACTAAGGACCTGTTCAGACTCTTGATTATTTATATCCACTCCCCTTCGTCCCCATGGACCGACTCTTTACCCTGCTCAGGCTGCCTTCATCATATTAGCTACCTATGCCATGTGGATCCCCTTCTAACTTCCTTGTCAGGTCCCCCTTTCCTCTGGATGCCCTTCGGTTCTGATATCTACCACCACCCCCCACACGTAAATGCCTTCCTTACTTTGTTTGAGCTCATATTCCCTTTTCCAGGCAGCCCTGCCATGAGAATGCTCTCCTCACCTTACTTAGCCTCTTAGGCTCCATGCTAGGATGACTATACAGATGGTCTGCTTTTCCTACTCAATCAGCACAGCTCCTCTCCTCATTTATGCCACCAAAGGCTTTAGAACTGAATTGTTAAGAAGGAAAAGGAAGAGAAAAGAGTGAAAAAGGAGGGAGTTGTGATTTTTTTTTTAATATGGTCTTTAATATTTTTTTTCTTGTATTTTTTTCCTCCTCCTTTTTTTTTTTTTTTGAGATAGTCTTCTTGTCTCAAGGCCAGGGGCCTTACTTGTGATGCTTCTGCCAAAATTTCTCAAGTCCTGGGATTACAGGCAAGTGCCACCAAATACCCAAATTTTTCTTTTCTAGTTCTTTTTTTCTCATATTTTCGCATAACCTTTTTTATTAGCATACATTATTAGCATAAGGGGTTTTGCTATGATAATTTCACACATGCATACAGTGTACTTAAAACAAGTTGACCACCTCTCTTGTATTCACTTAACAGCGCCCCCTTCCACATAACTTTTGAGACAGGGTCTTGCTGTGTAACTCAGGCTGGCCCAGAACTTGATGTGTGGTTCTGGCTGGTCTGGAACTTGGAATTTTTCTGCCTCAGCCTCCATATTGCTGGGATTACAGGGTTGTACAACCACACACAGCAACTTTCTTAAATAGTGTATTGCTCTGATAAGAAGGTGGTATGTCTTTGACTCTTGACTGATTACAAACCTGAAGTATATGCATCCAGATAAAATGTGAGGAGATGTGTGTTATTTTTCACTTTAACTTTATTAGTTCGTATTATTTTATGTCAACTGTTAATGTATAATCAAAAGCTCTGATTTGGATTGTTTTCCAGAGAGCCCAAGCTGCACTACAGGCTGTCAGTGCTGTTCAGTCAGGAAACCTGGCCCTTCCTGGAGCACCTTCCAGTGAAGGCACAGTCCTACCTGGGCAGAGTCCTGTTCTCCGAATAATTATTGAAAACCTCTTCTATCCTGTTACTCTAGAAGTTCTTCATCAGGTGAGGAGGAATACTCTTAAGAAAATAGTCAGATGTACCCTCTGTAACTTTTGATATTTATTATCTATGTTCTTCAGGTTGATATATACTTAAATAAGTGAAAAAAATCTTTCTCACCAAAAATTGTATCAGTTAATTTTTGACAGACTCCTTCCTTTTTTTTTTAACTGTACTAGGGATCAAACCTTGGGCCTCATGCATGCTAAACAAACACTCAACCACTGAACTACATCTCCAGCCCAACAGATTCATGCATGTAGTCTTAGCTACTCAGGAGGCAGAGATCAGGAGGATTACTATTCAAAGCCAGCAAATAGTTCTTGAGACCCTATTTCAAAAATATCCAACACATAAAAGGGCTGGCAGAGTGATTCAAGTGGTAGAGTGCCTGTCTAGCAAGCATGAGGTCCTTAGTTTAAATCCCAGTACCAACCAAAAATACGGCATTTAAGGGACCCAGGGATCTGGCTCAGTAATAGAGCTTGTGCTTAGCATACGTGAAGGCTTAGGTTCAATCCTGAAACCAAAAATAAAAATAATAAAACCCAACATGGGGGGAAGTGGGTAAGAAATTAAAATTTTTTTATAGTTAAGCATGAAAATAAAATACAGTATCGTATACAAAGCCCAGGTAGTAGTTGTTCTTTAAAAAGTAGTATCACTGTAGTGTTCAACTAATTTATTTCTATTGATCCCATCTTACATGTGAATATTTTCAGTTTAAAAACTCTGTGGGGCAAATACGTAGTAAGTCTTCATATGTAACATGGATATAAGCATCATATTAACTACTGACTAGTACCTGGCATAATCTTCATAAGTTTATCTATTAATGTGCCTAAACTGTCTTGATTAAAGGCATTCATTCCACCAAATCATGGCTACTGATATTTAGAATTTAAGAACTGAAGATCACTTCCCTATATAATTTTGTAGGGATTACAGTTTAAACTCAGATAACTGATGAGTATTGGCTTTTACAGAATAAAGAGCTAATTGAAACTCAAGTGTCAAAAGTCTGGTTTGGTTGTAGACACCTATAATTCCAGCACTAGATAGGCTAAGGTAGGAGGATTTCAAGGCTAATTGAGACCCTGCCTCAAAAAACAAAGCAAACAAAAACCTTCAGTTCTCTTGATATATAAATCCAGTGTTTTGTTTTACACTTGTTGCACTTTTAAACTGATATTTCATGTATACTGTTCTATAATGAAATGTAATACAGAGTTGTTATATACTCTTCATTCATAAAGATTTGACATCTAGCTCCACAACTTTAGTTTTGTCCCCTTAAGGTACCTAGTGATTGCATTTCATTATACTTGCATCTCATATATTAAAATATTAAAAAACATTTTGTGCTTATTTTCATTTACCACAGTCATACCTTTGGATTTGTACTACTAAGTGAAGAGTTGTAGGGGGTGTGTGTGCATATATGTTTAAGAATTGAAATGCACTGTATCTATTCTTACGTTTTACCAGTAAGGGAGCTGGAACCCTTAAGTTCCTCTACTTTCTCATAATTATTATTCCAGCTGATGAGAGTGCTCAGACACATTTCCCAATTTTTTCCTGTGCTGTGCAGGTAAATACTGAACATACCAGTTAGTAAGCCTACAAAGTTCCCATTTTCAAAATAAATTCATTTTTGAACAGTGTCTTAGGGAGGACTTTAACAGTGATGTCCATAGCCACCCTTGCTTCCTAAAGGGTTTCAGCAGTTCTTAAGGATGGTTTTCATTGTTCTGGTGAGGTTTTTTTTTCCTGTTTATCCCACAAAGTAGCATTGAATAAGCATTCAAAAATAGAGCACTAGGCTTTATATCAGCTCTTTACTCTGCTTATCTCAGGAAGTGGAATTGAACACTTGTGATCCATCAGCAGTGCATGTTAAATTTGCAGCATTACAGCTCACTGGTTTACACCGTTTTATAAAAGATGTTCTTATACAAGTTCCTCAACGTTGCCACCACCCAGCAGTGATTTAGTGTCATGTGGTTATGTCCAGTCATTACATTTGTCCTTCCTCCTAAAGTAGCAAGAGACCTTATTTCTCCCAGGTTCTAAGAGTACTGAATAACAGCTCTTGGATTAGAACTCTCATATGTTTTAGATTCAGTACTCCCTTGTTTAATTCTCCTACTGGAATAAAACCAACTCATTTTCAAAGCTATTAGGGACCCACATGTAGATGTCTCCCTCATCTGTTTTTCCTCAGTACCTAATGCTCTTCTGCTTATTTAACACCCTGGTCTTTAAAATGTCCTGCTTTTTTTGGGGGAGGGGGGCACTGGAGTTTGAACTCAGGGCCTCAGGTGCTCTACCATTTGAGCCACTCCATCAGCCTGATACCCTACCTTTCTGGCTCTGTTCTCTATCCTGTCCTTAGTTCTTTTAGGCCTGGGATACTTTTTATCCAAGTAGTTACTTAAATGGGTCTACATCATTCAGTTCTCATCTCCTCAGAGAGTCTTTCTCTAATTCCATTAACTAAGCTGTCTCCCCCAGCACTCTATTCCATTAGTCATCCAAGAGTTGGTATGGTTAAGGACACAGGGTTCATTGCTGGTTTGAATCCTAGCTCTAGCACTAACCACCTGCATAACCTTGGACAAATAACTCACTCCTTCTATGTCTGTTTTCTTTTTTTTATAATGAAGATGAAAATAATTTCTATCTTATACCTTCATTTGAGGATTACATGAGTTAATGTGTTTGAAGCACTTAAAGCATATAGAACAGTGCCTGGTACATATTAAGTGTTCAAGAAACGTTAGCTCTAATTATCAGATCTTAGTAAATTGCAACAGAAGATACTATCCCTTGATTTTTGCAGTATTGTGAGTAAGATAGTAATTTTGTAAGTAATAGCATAATATGTGATGAGTATTTTGATAGGGGAATATATAAGTGTGGAGTTGGTTGTGCTTGTTAATTAAATAGCTGATTTTTAAAATATGTTTTAATATGTTAATTTGTTGAGAAGTTGGCTTTAGCTAAATGGCTGTCTAATAGCTGTAGAAACTATGCTTCTTCCTTTAGCTCATGGTAAGGGGATTGAGAGTGACTGAGATGGGAGGGCTGTTGTTTTAGATTAAGGAAATTAGAGAAAGTTTTTCCAAGTATGACATTTGAGCAGAACCTTGAGGATGTGAGGATTTAAGTTATCTATGTGTAGAAGAATAGTGAGCCAGTTAATAAGAAGAGCCAAAAATTAGTCCCTCAGAGACTAATTTTTTGAAGAGAGTAAATGTTCACTAGTATTCTCTTATAATAAAAAGAATATTCAGGCTCATGCTTGTAATCCTAGCTACTGGTGAAGCAGAGAGAAGGAGGATTGCAATTTGAGGCCAGGCTGGGCAAACAGTTGGAGAGACCCTTTCTTGAAAATATCTAACAAAAAAATAAGGACTGGCAGAGTGGCTCAAGTGAAAGAATACCTGCCTAGCAAGCGTGAGGTCCTGAGTTCAATCCCCAATCCCACCAAAAAAAGAATATTCATATTAGAACTTTTTATAGTAATCAAGCACATTGGTTCTTGTTGATAATAGTGTTTGTAGCTAACAAAATAGGAAAAGGGAAGAACTAGAATTTCATATTAATAGTATTTTTTCTTCTATTTATCCCTTAATAGCTGGTTCTTGTAAGCTATTTATTTCAATTCAGGAATTTATATGTGGTATAAAATAGTTTTAAGTGTTTGAGTATATGGAATAACACATGCATGGCATTGGAACATTAAAATTTTAGTCTTGAAAAAATTATTTTCATTTAACAATGGAGTTCACAGCTAGGCATAGTGGCACACATGTCTTAATTCCAGGGAGGCTGAGGCAGAAGGATTACAAGTTCAGGGCCATTCTGGGCTATATACATAGCAAGACACTATCTCAAAAACAAAACAACAACAAAAAAAAGGGGAAATAAACCCAAGTTGTATTTATAAAGGTACATTAGTTTAATTTTTTTCCTAGATTTAATCTAATGTGAACTTTTTTCAGATATTTTCTAAATTTGGCACGGTCTTGAAGATTATCACCTTTACAAAGAATAATCAGTTTCAGGCCTTGCTCCAGTTTGCGGACCCAGTGAATGCACACTACGCCAAGGTGGTAAGTATGTTTCCATTCCCACAACCAGTTGCTGAATGTGGTGACACCTGAGGGAGACCACCAGGTGTCCTCTCTAACCGATGAAATAAACGTAACGTAATGCTTCACATTTTAACCATTTTTACCTATATAGTTTCATTTGTTCTTCCCTCTGAGATAAAAATTATCATCCTCTTCGTAGGAAATGTCTTCAAATCTTCTTTCACCTCTCAGATCTCTGAGACTCATTCCTGTTTGTCATGTGTCAAAGCTAGAGTTAAGCATAGACTCCTGAAATAATCTGACTGATAAAGTAGGTTTTGCCCTGTGCCTTCATTTACTTCTATCCAATCAGTCAAAGATTGACTTTACTACTTTTGTAACCACATTCAACCTACGTCCTGTTGTGCTCTAAATTGGTGAAGACATTAAATCTTAATAAATATGCTGCTCTCAATTCCTATTGACTTTTTTAGTACATGAATACTTGACTTTTTGATAAATGTAACATAAAACTTTTATGTTCTACAACATAAACTTCATGTAATTAACATTAGACATGTCTCCTATTGAGATCTATCACTAATTCTAATTCAATCTTAACTGTTTTCTGAACCAATTCTAATTTCTGCTTGAAGATGGATTCAAGTGCTTTAATACTTTCCTGTACTATGCATTTTCTGGCACGTAGAATATAGCTTTTCTATTTACTATACCTTCTACCTGCCTTTATTATGTATTGTTATGATGGCATGTTTGTTAATGGCTATTCTCATAAATTAGACATTTTCATATGTTTATTTGTATGTGCTTTGATTTCTGCTATTATAAATTTGAGTATTTGTGGAAGCTGTAAGCAGCTACATACATCCCATTGGTAAATTTTTATTCTTAAGTCATTTTTATTACTGACCTTTAGTAACAGCTGAGTCCAAATTTCCCTCAGCTCATTATTTAGAGGATTACAAAGATAAATTTGCAAAAGAAAAAAAGTGGTAGATAATACATATTGTGACTAATGAGTACCATTTGCAGAGGCTTTGTTTCATCTTAATATATAAACTATACTAAAATGAAAATGAAATGTGAAATTAACATCATTGCTTACACAAAATAATAACTAGTATTTCTATGATACCATACAGTATTCTTCAAGCCTGTTCCTGTCTCATTTGATCCTAGCACTGATAGAATAAATGTTCTTAAGTTATTTGACAGATACAAACTGAGACTTAAGACCTTTTCTTTTTCTCCTGTAGCATCATAGTCAGTGACAGAGTTTAAAGAAAACCTACATCTTTGACTTTTAGTCCAGCGCTCTCTGCTTTATACTGGTTGCTGCTCTGTTTCAGAGTAGAGGCTACTTGATTTATCAGTGTTGTTGTCTTGCCAAAACATCAGTGCCTTTCTCACATGCTTTAGGCTCTGGATGGCCAGAATATCTATAATGCATGCTGCACTCTGCGTATTGACTTCTCCAAGCTCACCAGCCTTAATGTGAAATATAATAATGACAAAAGCAGAGACTTCACTCGCTTAGACCTTCCTACTGGTGATGGCCAGCCATCTCTTGAACCCCCTATGGCTGCTGCTTTTGGTGAGTAGTTCCTTTTTCAGTCACAAAGCAAGTTTTCTGAAGTTGTAAATTTAACTTATTAATCTTATGTCAGTTAACCTTTTTCTTCTTGAATTGTCCCAGAACTTCTAAAGGAAAGCAAGAATCATGGAACAAAATGTACCCATTAATTATATCTTAATATTAGGAAGTTCTGTTAGCTAACAAAATATGTAGATACCTGAAATTGAGCTCCAAATTTATTTTGTAACAATAATACATTAATATTACTCATAAGCTACATCACTGTTAGCTTTGACTGAACCATCTTAAATATTAACATTGATTTAAATATATTGTTTTGTAGTTAACAGAATTTTGCAATAAGTGCTCTTAAGAATTTTCTTTTTAAATAGTGATAATTTTTAGTCAGGCACCTGTGACTCAAATCTGTAATCCTAGTGAGTTGGCGGCTAAGATCAGGAGGATCCCAGTTCGAGGCTAGCCCAGGCAAATACTTTGTGAGACCCCCACCCCCCATCTCCAAAATAACCAGGGCAAATGGACTGGAGGTGTGGCTCAAGCAGTGAACCTCAAGTTAAAACTCCAGTTCACAAAAAAAAAAAAAAAAAGATAAATAGTGATAATTTTAAATCAGTGACCTAAATTAGCAGTATATTCTTTATCCAAAGAGGAGGATTTAACCGAGCACCAGTGGCTCATGCCTATAATCCTAGCTACTCAGGAGGCAAAGATCAGTAGGATCACAGTTTGAAGTGAGCCCTGGACAAATAATTCTAGAGACCCTATCTCAAATACCCAACAGAAAACAGGGCTGGCAGAGTAGCTCAAGTGGTAGAACACCTGCCTAGCAAGCATGAAGACATGAGTTCAAACTCCAGTACAACACACAAACAAAAAAATTGAACCTTCTAAATTGTCTCTGTAAGTGTAGATTTGAATAGCTTCTCTCTTTTATGTAAACTAAACTTTATGGTTTGGGTGTGGTGATGTTCTTCTATAATCCAAACTACTTAATAGGCAGAGATAGAAGGATCAAAGTTCAAGGCCAGCCCAAGAAAAAGTTAGGGGAGGCCCTATTTCAAAAACAAGCTGGGGGCACTAGAGGTGTGGCTCAAGTGGTAGAGCACCTGCTTTGGAGCTTGAAGAGCTGAGTTCAAATCCCTGTCTTCCACCCCCCCCAAAAAAAAAAAAAGCTGGAGTCAGATGTTCATGGTTCATATTTTTAATCCTAGCTACTTGAGAGGCTGAGATTGGGAGAATCGAAGTTCAAGACTAGCCAGGCAAAAAACTTCATGAGACCCCCATCTCAACCAATAACTATGCATGATGGCATGTGCTTGTCAGCCCAGCAATATTGGGAAGCTTAAGATAGGACGATCTTGATTGAGGCAGGCCTGAGCAAAAAGTGAGACCCTGTCTCACTTATAACCACAACAAAAAGAGCTGGAGGCGAGGCTAAGTGGTAGAGTAGCAAGTGTGAATCACTGAGTTTCAAACCCCAGTACCACCAAAAAAGAAAAACAAGCTGGTTGTAGTGGTGGTGCAATTCTATAATCTCAGCTACTCAGGCGGCATAGGTAGAAAGGTCATGGTCTAAGGCCACCTGATGAGAGAGAGAATGAATGAATGAATGAGTGAATATCTTCATATAGAGACAAAAGCAGTGGGTCCCCAGTTTAGATACATCATTAGGTTAACATGTGCTGCTTTCTTACCTCACAGCTCTCAAAAGTATGGTTTATTATTTCAGTAACATATTATATTTTAACCCCTTTGTGATTTATTTTCCTTTCCCAAATAACACCATAAAATATTGCAATTAAGGGCTGGGGATATAGCTCAGTGGCTTAGTGTTTGCCTCGCATTCATGAGACCCTGAGTTCAATCCCCAGTACCACAGAAAAAAAAAATTGCAATTAATACTTTTAGTTGCGTTTAATCTTTTATAGGTGAGAAAAATGAAGAATTTTACATCCAACTGGTTGTTCAAATATTTCTGGAAAGTATTTTGAAACTTTTAAAGTAAAAGCTTTTTTGATGCTTTATAAGCCTGATTTGGCCGAGCTAGAGATCCTTGTCATTACCATTTCTATAACAAATAATAGAAATTGGGGCAAATTCAAGTTTACCAAAACTTGGCTATCAAATGCAGAACTGCATTTATTCCAATAATTCAATATGTACTCTTGATGTGATTAATGTTCTACATTGTAGGAAGAGGACATTTGAAAAATATGGTTAGGAATTCTGGTTTCTGATTATATCAGAATATTCACATCCTTTTTTCATTGTGTTATTAAAAAATCCTTAGTCATTGCAAAATGTCTACATCCTAAGATTAGTGATTCATCAGAGAAAAGTATGTTTTATGTATTGTGTGAAATTTTCTTCTGTTCTGCCTCTCAATGATGTTTGACACAGTTCACTAATCCCTGCTTATTTCTCTTAGCTTCTGAAATACTGCACTCTCCCTACTCTGTGTCACTGGCTATTACTTCTCCTTTAACGTTTGTCCTAAAGTTTCTAGGGCTGAGCCATAAATACTGTCTCTGTTTTGAGTGATAAATATGCATATATAAAGCTTATAAAACAGATAAATGTATTTTATACACCCATGTTGTTACTACCCAGGTTAAGAAATAAATTACTTCTGCATACTGGAGAAGCACCTCCTGTACTCCCTTTGTGAAATATTTTCTTGTTCTCCCTATCCCAAGATAACCATAGCCCCAAATTTGATAATTTTCTCTTTATTTTTCTGGGTTCTTTAATGTTTTTCTTTTCTTGTTAACCACTTATTATGTAGTCTTAAACACTATTTTAATTTTTTTTTTTTTACTTGGTTGGGCGTGGGTGGCTCACACCTGTAATCCTAGCTAACTGAGAGGCAGAGATCAATTGCTTCTCAAAGCCAGCCACTGGCAAATAGTTCATGATACCCTATCTTGAAAATATCCAACACATAAAAGGGCTGACGAAGTAGCTAAAGCACTAGAGCTCCTGCCTGTCAAGCACAGGGCCCTGAGTTTAAACCCTAGTACTACTAAAAATATTTTACACCTATATTTAGAGCTTCGCATAAATGGAATTACACACTTTTTCTTTCATGACTTATTTCCTGCACATTAGGCTTTTGTGATTCATCTGTATTCATATATGTGGCTGTGGTTCCATCATTCCCAGTGTAGTCAAGTATATATTATCGTGTTGGGCAATCTATTTTGTTTTGTTTTTATTTTTTTATTTTTGTTGTATTGGAGGTATATTGTGACATTTACAAAAGTTCTTAAATCATAGTTGAACTCACCCCCTCCATCATTCTCCTTCATCCCTTTGCTCCCCATCCATTTTACTTTTGAATTTTATTTATTATTTTATTTTTAGTTTAAGGCCATTATGAGCAGTGCTGCTGTTGACATACATATGTGTCTTCTGGACAGGAATTTTCTATATGGTACATATGTAGGAAAGGAATTATTCTGTCATAGTGGATGTATTTTTTTCAGTTTATTGCATAATGGTTTTGTTGTTGTGGTTGTGGTATCAGGGCTTGAACTCAGGGCTTATACGTTGAGCCATGCCACCAGCCCTTTTTTGTGAAGGATTTTTTTTTTTACCAGATAGGATCTCGAAGCTATTTGCCTGGGCTGACTTCAAACCGTGATCCTCCTGCTCTCTGCCTCCTGAGTAGCTAGGATTATAGGCATGAGCCACTGGCACCCGGCTGCTATATTGTTTTAAAAGGGATAGAAACCATTTCTACCTGCATTGTGGAATGTTTTAATTCTTGCCATTGTCGTGTGTATGATACATTAACATTGTAGTTTTCACTTGCATTTTCCTAGTTACTAATAAAGTTGAACATATTTTTATTTGCATCTGCCTTAATAACTTTTTTGATCAACTCTTTTGTCTATTTTTGTGTTTGGTTTCTTATTTTTCTTATTTATTGGTAGGAATTTTATATATTCCAGATGCTAGTCTTACTTGTGTTATAGTTTTTCTCTGTTTGGGCTTGTTGGTTTATGTAGTAAAGTTCATTTATTACTTTTTTTTATATTCTTTTCTGTGTCTTATTTAAGAAATTCTTTGTTATCCTGAGGTTACAAAGATACTTATAGTTGTGCATAGTGAAGCACAGCTATAATCCCAACAACCAGGAGTCTGAAGCAGGAGGATTGTGGATTCAAGGCCAACCTCAACTAGAGTGTGACCTTATCTCAACAGAACAAAACATTATGAAGCAAAAGATATTTACTTATATTCTAAAGTTTATAGTATTTTAATACTTTGCTTTGAAATAATTCAAGCTGCAATATAGCACAAAGAACGCCTTCATTCCAGTTCTTCAGTTAGCATCATTCCACATTTACTTTATCATCTCTCTGATTATATGTCTGTATGTGTACATTTCTATACATTATATTTATACAACTTCTGTATATTTTAGTGTGACTATATGTGTACATGTATATTTACTTCCCTCTCCTCAAACCATTTTATGGTAAGTTGGAGATATGCCTTTTTTTTACTTTAAATATTCATTATGTATTTTTGCAAGAATAAAGATATTCTGACTTAAGTACAGCTCAGCTATCAAAATCATGAAATTAACATTCATACAGTACTATTACCTAATCCATAGACTTTTTAAAAAAAATTCCAGTTAGGAAAATAGTACCCTTTTTTGAGAGATTTTTTTTTTCTAGTAGAGATCCAGACTGCTAATATCAGACTAATTTGTCATGTCTTGCTAGAACACTTTATTTGTTTTGTTTGTTTTTTTATTTGATGGTACTGGAGTTTGAACTCAGGACCTGGTACTTGCTTGGCAGGTACACCACCACTTGAACCCCAGCCCTTTTTGCTTTAGTTATTTTTCTAATAGGGTTTTGTGTTATGCCAGGGATAGCCTGGACTGTTATCCTCCTACTTACACTTCTTACATGGCTGGGATGACAGATGCTTGCCACCACACCCATTGATTATTGGTCGAGATGGAAGTTTCACTAACTTTT